ATGTTTTCAAAACCACTGCAGAAGCTTAGCCTGCATCCTAATTAATACACTAGATGTACTGGCTCCTGTTCCAGTGCTGTGATTCGATAATAATAATAATGAACATTTACTAGGGACTTTTTATGTGCCAGACACATGCCAAATATTTATCAGACATTTTGTTCTTCTTATGACCGTCTGTGGTAGAATCTACCACTGGCATTAATTTTCCAAGTGAGAAAACAGGTTTAACCTAGTTCGTACTACTTCAGAGTCCAGAGGCTTTATTCTCAGCCACTGTCCTCGTGCTGGGGAAAGAGCATGTTTCATGGAGAGAGACTAAGTGTGGTAGAAATTCTGTCACCAATACTTAAGAATTCTACAATTTTCAGTAAGACTTAACCTTCTTGGGCTTCCATTTTATCTTATAGGAAAGTAGAAAATAATAATACCTATAGGATTGTGGTGAGGAATAAATGAAAATGTGTAAAGCACTGGGCACAAGGCTTGGTGTGCAGTGTGTGGGGGGTGGGCGGCGGGGTGTCAATGAATAGTGCTTCTCTCCCCTCCTCTACTTTATTCTTGAATTTCCACCTTCACACATGGGATGGTTTGGCTCCAGCCTACAACATTGGTTTCATTCCAGAAATCTAAAGACAAAGCAGGTCTATGCAGAATCCCTGGGAAACCAGGTTAGCCAGAATCCTGTGGCTTCTGTTTCCTTCAAGCCTCCCCTCGTACAGAGTAAGAGCATCGGGGGATGCACGAGAGACTTGGGGAAAACCCCAGGCATCATTCCAGAGCTGACTCAGCCTCTGGAGAGAGAAAGGAAGATCAGCCTCCTCAGTCATACAATGCCTTTTTCTCCTACTGAACCTCTAGTGTAGCTTGGGAGCTGGGGAAGAGGGCAGGGAAATTGCTGCTGCACTTTTCTGGAGAACCATAGGCCAGGATCTGGGGGCATTGTGGGATAGATTATGAATACCTTTGGCCAATGATTGCATCAGTCTCCTAAAAGCATGCTGGTATTGAGTCCTCCCCGGTATCTGGACAGAGGAAGACCAGATCTTTTAAGAATAAAACAAGTGAAAGGCCTCATTTGCCCAAATATACAACAAACAATCTTAAACTCCTTCAGAGAATTGTATGTTCCTCTCATGAGTACTGTTCTCTTAAGAAATAAAAATGTTTGGGAAAATATTGTGACAATTTGTCTTATTTTGAAGTATGACATGTTTATTTGTAGTTAATTATCACTTTTTACAACCGACCACGGTTAGCATGCTCTTCCACATTTTAGGGCTGGATTTGGAAGCCATGGAAGAAAGAGTCTCTTACTAAAGCTAAAGTGGTATGATTACAGTTTCTGGTCTCATGTTCCTCCACAGAATTAGCTGTCTCTCTCCAAAGTGTTTCTCTAGCGTTTCTCATTTTAAGGCTTATAAGGCCTTAAAATAAGGCTTATAAGGCCTTAAAATGAGGGGGCTTAGGTGCTATATAAGAGGATATTGGGATGGGCCAGTGGAAAAGAATCCCTGACTTCTTAAAAGTTTTTTTTTTTTTTTCTTCTGGAGGCTTAGTTTTACCTTTCTCTCTTTCCATGGAAGATTTAGAAACACAGTTCTACTTCAGATTTCTCAGGTGGCTTTGAATATATATAATCCATCATCTTCTTTACTGTTTCTGTTTCTTCCTCATAAAATAATCAAACTTGCCTTCCTGATTCACAAGAAGCTGGGCCTATGAAACATTATCTGGTTGGAGTAGGGGTGGGGTGAGTTATTGAAATGGTATTGACTTGGTGTGAGCAATCAATTTGTCTTTCTTTGATCAGATCTTTCAGTCCAGGAAAATGCTGGGACTGAACCAAACTTTTCAAAAATGTCCAAGACTGAAGCCCTTCCTTCAACCTACATCTACCAGTCTAAGCTATCATCTGAGGCACTGCCTCTTGGCCACAATGGCTAGAGGTGCGAGAGTGGGAGACTGAGAATGAATACATCTGTTTTTTTCTTTTTTTCCCCCCTCTTTAATCCCCCTGTCTCCCACCCCTGACCTATGGATGTTGGACCTTCTGCGTGTAAAACAGACTTGCTAACCACTACACTATGGAGCCCCCCTGCATCTGGTTTTCTAAATCAGAGTCCTTAAATGCCTCAGAAGGCTTTACTGAATGCTTAATATGTCAGGCTTAAAATATAAATTTTTATATGACAGTCTGATGACTGTAGTCATGGTCCTTGTAGGTGCCACCCAAGATATTCACTGTCCTGCTTGACAAGCTCTGATTCCATGAAAATTTTCACTGCTCCTACCTTCAAGGCTTCTTCCCACTTCAGCTCTTTAGTCTAAGCGGGGAGGAGACATTACTGCTTCCGGCCAACTTTCCCTTCAAAGGCTCTCCTTCACAGTTGTGCCCTAGAGGCACCTAGCAGGAACTCTAATGCAATTAGGGTCACCTATAGACACGTTTCCCCTGAGCCAAAGACTATAAAGAACTATTGGATAAGTAACAATTATGTGTTTTTTAATCCTCTACATTGTACCTAGCATCAGCTTAAGTTGTATGGTAATGTATACACAAGCATGCCTATACATCCATTCCAAAAATATATATTGAATCAGATACCGGAACCACCACAAAAAAATGGTTCACATCCTTGGAATGTCTCTTTTGAGGAAGGCTCTTAAAGGGATCAAATTTAGGAAATCACATAATTATTTCTATAATTTCATAACATACTATACTGTACATGAAAAGTATTGAAAGAGATACAGAGAGGGAAAAGACGATAATGATGGGCCATGGAAGAGGTGAATTTTTAGCTGAATTACAACATGTCAGGCACAAGAAGAAAAAAGGCGTTCCAAACACAAGTCATACTATGTACAAAGTCACAGTGAAGAAAGAATATACTGTGTTCAAGGAACAACAAAACCTTCATGGCTGATGAATAGTGTGTAGGAAAGGAGAGTGCATTTGGTGTCAGGAAGACAGGCAAAGGCTAGACTGAAATGATTTGAATGCCATGCTCTAGAGTTTGACTTTATCCTGAAACACCAGAGACCAACAAAAGTTATTAAGCAAGAGAAACAAATGATTAGATTTACGTTTTAGAAAGATAACTCTAGGGCCAACACAGAGGATGAATTTGAGAGTTAAATCAAGCATTATTTCTCTCAGCATAAATGCATAAGAATTTGGGAGACGAGATGTTAAATGAACATTTCTGGGGCCTACTCTTTAACTATTGAATCAGAATCTCTAGACTCCAGGCCTGGGAGCCTGCATATGTAACATTTCTAACATAACAGTCATTCTTGAGGGCTCTAAAGTCTAAGCCATAGTGTTAGAAAGGCCAGTTAGAAAGCTTTTGCAATTGTCCAATTAGGAGATGAAATAAGTTAGATCTGTCCATGAAGCCCTTCCAGACTAGCTCATAAAGAAAAACAACCATTTTAAGACAATAGTGTGATTAAGTGCTAAACTATTTGTGCAGACTGCTACGTGATCTTGGCCAAGTCATTTGATATCTTAACATAATGCTTTTAAATGACAAAGTACTAATATGCAAATCTTATGTGAGTGCAAATTTCCAAGAGCTAGGAGAAATATTTATCATCTTCAATTTACAGATTAAGTTCAGTAGGTTGGTTAGATTAAGTCATTTTTATTTGCTTGCTTGTTTAGTGTCTGTCTCCTCACAGGTGAGTAGAATCCTAGGAGAGTAGAAATCTTGCTGACATTGATGGGTCTCAGGTGAAATTGTGCTTGGCACAAAGTAGGCTCATGATAAATACATTCTGAATAAATGAAAGAGAAAAATGAACAAAAAGAAAAATAAAGAAACACTGCAATGTTAGGTTTAAAAAAGTTATATTAGATAGGGAGTTAAGAGATTTGGTCTTTCTTCCAAGTGCTATTCACTCGACGCCCGCACGGTGCTGGATGCTAAAGATGCTGCCCCTAAGGTATTGCCCATGTCCATTCCTGGGTTTGATTCCATTACTCAGGATCATGGAACTCTGACAAGTCTACATTGTGGACCAAAAAAAAAAAGGGTGCTGTAATAAGTCATAAATACCTAACTAGGCAGGTCATGGTGGGTAGTCACGCCACAGGCATATAACTTTTAATAAAAGGTTTAATCTTTGCCTTAAGTAAGCCCTGCCACTGTTTCTGTGCATCAGGGTTAACACACGTTTGAAATGCCTTTTCAGACCTCTCCTTCTTAAACATAACTACCTTCAAGAGAGCATATAATTTTAACTATCCTGTAATCCAATCCCTGTCTTGCTTTCTCCACCTTCATGTAAGCTTCCGCTGACCCCTTCTTAATTTCAAATGCATAAGAGAAACTGAAAACTGTTATTCTCCAGAGCATTTTACATCTTGCTTCCTGGCAATTGTCATCAGTTTTGGCTCAAATAAACTTATAAAAATTCTCTATAGGTCTGGATGTTTCTTAAACGGACATTAAGCTTAAACTTCTTCAAGTCTTAGTTCTTTAGTAAAATGAGAGGCTGGCCAAAAATGAGATGACAACTAAAGCTCTTTCTAGATCTCATTTTTGTAATTCATCTTCTTTACCTTCTTGCTTCAGTTCTACTCTTTTGCAGTGAACAAAGGAAGGTGCTAACTGGCCACTCAGGAGCGAATCCTGGCCCACGGAGCAGAAATATAACCACGCCCCAGAACTCGTTTCTCAGTGAGCTATAGAAATGCTAAACAGTAACACATCTGGAGATAGTGAACGATGTGACACACTAATTGTTCAACGTCCTCCCGGTCCCGGGGAAGAAGGCTGGTCCCGCCCGCTTGGACCATCTCACGGCGCGCAGCGCGCTTCTCTCTTTAGACAAATTTTCCCAGGACTGGTAAGGTAAAGAGATAGGTGCCCCGGGAGGGGGGCAGGCCTGCAAATAATACCCGGGGCCAGGAGGAAGGCTCCCATTGGCCGGAGGGCGGATGACCGGCTGGAGGCGGAGTTTCCCAGGGGCATATAAGACAGGGGGGTGTGCTCTGCCAGTGTCAGTTTCCGAGTCTGTAGCTGCTCCTTTTGCGTTCTGGGACCTGAGCCGAGTCTCCCGCTAAGGCGTTTTCCCTCTGCGGGCCGAGAGCCTCCGCTGGCTGGTACCACCCCCCCGTTCTGTGGCGCCCCACATCTCGCCCAGCCCCGGCGCTCTTTCTGCATTTTCTCAGCGGTGCTTTTATCCGGGGCACGTTGTTTTCATCTTTCCTTTTTGTTGCTCTAAAACCGGCCTCGCCGAAGCCCCCTACTGCGGAGGGAGTTCGACTTCTCGAGAAAGGCGCGGCTGCCACGGACGGCACGGGCCTCTCCTGCGGACTCGCAAGCCGGTGCGCCCACCCCGCCTGCCTCACCCGCTGCCTGCGTTCGTTCCCCGGGGGGAGCCAGCCGCCAGTTCATTGATGCACCCATTCCAGTGGTGTAACGGTGAGTCCCCGGGGCCGGAGGGCCGGAGGGCGGGAGGGTGCTGAGTTGGCCGGAGACCAGGAGGGGGTGCGCAAGGCTTAACATCAGAGGCTCGTTCTCCCTCTGGAGCCAAGTTTCTCTTGAAATGGGATAGGCGAGAAGGCGTCCTGGCGCCCAACTCTGTTCCGCACGGCGTGGAGTTTGGGGGGAAAAAAATCCAGCTTTAACTCGAGAGCTGGTAAGGGTCTCTGAACCGGCGGTGGGCGGGAGGCGTGGGAGCCGAGGGGTTCGCGGCCTTTGTGTGGTGGCTTCGCTCTTCTACCCCCTTCCCTTGTCTTTGTGCACTCAAACTCTGTTCTTTGTTGTGGTTGACGGAGAATTAAATCCGCGCTCGGGCTAGGATCTCCTAGAGGGAGCTCAAGTTCTCGGCCTGAAACTTTGCAGGCTATTTTAAATATGTATACAATGCAGCGTGCGGGACGGGCCTGGGGGTGGCTTCCTCTGTGTCTTTGTTGGCTTCGCACTAGCAGCTACGGGGCTTTGTGCCTGTGGAAGACGCCGTATTAAAGAGCGTGGCTTTACTGAGTTGATAAAGCCTTGCAGATATCTCGATGCCTTGCGACCCTTGGGTGCGGGGTTAGCCTGGCGGGAACTATGTTCTCTGGCCCCCAGGCCCGTCTGTGGTATCGGAGCCTGCAGACCCAACCACCCCTCCCATCCCATTCCCCACTCTCCCTCCCACCTCCCCACATCTCCCAGGCCTGGGTGATGCTAAAGTTATCTCACCTGAGGCTTTTCTGGTTCAAGTAACAACAGGTTGGCTTGGGTCAGATTCCTCACTCAAACTACCTTTCTAAGCAGGTCAGTTCAAAACATTGGATACTAATACTCTCTCATGGCCCTAGGGTCTTGACTGCTTAGTTCTAACGCTAGAACAGTTGGGGTGGGGGTGGGGGAGCAACTAGCCTTATCTCTGAGTACGGCTGGCTGGTTAGTTAGGAAAAATTCATTCTTGAGAGCAGACTCCTGCCAGATCTTGGATTAATTACTTAAGGAGCCTTTTGTTTTAAGGCAAGGTTTGGGCAGCATATGTATGAGTGTCCCCCATCCCCCTCTTCCTCCTGCTAGTAGGATCTAATTTCCTGAAAATGAACCAAGCTGTGTGTGATAGGCGGGCATTGTCGGAGAGGCGGAGGAGGATGGGGGTGAAGAAGGACCATGCATCCCAGCATCTGGGAAAGATTCCCTTGGCTGGGAAAGAGAAGCATTTCCCAGATCCACTGGGCTTTCTTGGCCGACTGGCCCTTCTCTTACGTCATTCCCGCTCCCAGCCTGCTGACTAAGATGAGATGAAACATTTTGATGTCAAAGCTTTCATAGGTGGGCTGAGACAATGGAACAGAGAGAGACTTCAGGAGAAAGAACGAGGGTGTTGTCAGTCACTGTGGCCTTTCTTCTGGGCAGCTCTTTTTCATGAGGTTTTTAGACCAGCAAGGGCTTGCCGCTTTATCTTTTCATTTCTTGACGTGACTGAGAGATCCTGTTTTTTGGCTGTAATGAGGAAGCAATCCCTCTCTCCACATTTTTGTGAAAAATATCTGGAGCCCCACTTTCCTAGGGTTGGTATTCCGTCCTTACAAGCTTTGGAGAAAAAACCATTTCACTGTCAGCTTTTAGCCTATATATATTTTACATTTCTTTTTAATTGTAAAACAAGCAAATGGACCATCTCCTGGCTATGAAGCTCTTCTCACCCACACCTCTATCACATAAAGTCCTAAGCTCATTTACTCAATCATGAAGCCCCAGGGAAAGCCTTTATCAGACAAGATGGTCCTGATAAAGTGGTGAAAGAACTGTCGAGGCCAGAGTGCCTGCAGGGTGCACACACATCCCCTCTGCAATAGCTGCTGTCATCACTCCTTAGGTTCTCAGAATAGGAAACTAAATGAGGTTCTTTGGGTCCCTAAAGATAATAGGATCCAGCTCAAAAAGTACATGGACAGCCAAGGCAGATTGGGGGTTAGATCCTCATGGTATCAAATATTGCTGTTTGGGGGTGAGATGTGCCTGGTCGGGAGGAAGGCCTCACTGGCAATGAGGACACAGTTTCCTGAAGCGAAGTCCTTTTCCAGAGTTTCTTTTCCAGAGAAGACTGAGTTCACCATGATGTCTTCATGAAAAATTAATTTCCTTTGGCCCACAGAGAGCAAATATCTGAGTGGAGGGGGGAGGGGTGGTGAAAACTTTCTAACCCCTACTGGAGCCTAGAAGTAAAGGCTTCTTGTTGAGCATAGCAAAGTTTGGTAGCTAATTATTTGTTTTCAGCTTAAAAGATCAGGACAAGAACTACTTTTACTTTGTTTCCACACAATGTCTAGGTTAATGCATAAATCAGGCTCTTCAACAATACTTGTTGATTGACTCGGCATCCATTAGCTGAGGCAGTTTCTGGGCAATTTTCCCAAACGTCAGTCTGCTTTGAAGTGGGAGCTTTTGCCAAGGGTACCAGATTGTTTTGAGAAAATTGGAAGTTATTTATCTGTTAACTGGATATCAAACACGAGGCTAGGCACCAGGGAGTATACAAAAGTCCAAATCCCTGTCCTCAGACCTAGGAGCATTCAGGCTTGTAAATACTCTCTCATCTCTGATCTCGGGGTTATAGTTGCACCTCTGCTGTGATGCTTCACTTGGGTGAAAGCTTTTGAGTCTGTCTTCTTCCCTAGAAAGTAAAACCATCTCGAAATTCTTTCTTGCTTTTTTATCTTCAGTGTCTATCATGGTACTTGTCATATAATCAGTGCTTAATGCATGTTTGAAGTCAAGTTGATGCTAGAAACAATTGGGCAATGTAAAACAGTTACCGAGTACGTAAGAGCCAGAATCTATGATAGGGCTGTGAGCACTGTAGGCTTAAGGGAAGAGAGGGGTCCCTGGACTATCACAAAGACCAGGCTTGGTGAACTTTGGGGAGGGAAAGGGAGTTTCTGGTAAGGAAAGCTGCATGAACAAAGGTATGGAGGCAGCGAGTACAAAGTTGGGCAAGAAATAGTGAGACCGGCCCACATAGGGTGGTGCTGAAGGAAGTGGGGGTGGTGCAGAGAGGGGACCCAGAGCACACAAGTTTAGACAGACTTGAAGCCAGTCATAAGTTTGAGAAATACATGACATGTGGGCCAAATTAGAGGAGGGACTAGACATCAATTAGGTGTCTGGAATAGGGACTTGGAATAGAAATGGGACGAAAATCTGTTTGGAAAAGGGACTTGGCAATAGAATTGGGCACAAAATTGGAAAGAGGTTTGGAGGGAGGCTCATTATATAGTCACTAGATTGATCTAGGAGATGAGAGGTATGAGAAATATGTCAAAGATGACTCAGTCTTTCAAGCCAGACTTCTGCTAAGTTGTGGTAGCACTGGTAATTATAATGTAGAATTCTCAAGTATATTAATGGGTTCTGGCTGCTAACCAAGATGTCAGGAAAGTTCTTAAAACCCATGTTGAAGGCTTGAGTACAGAAGCCTTTGGAGCCAGGCCTTATTAACCATTTGACTACAGTTTAATTATTGAATTTTTAAGATTAAATCAGTAACTTGAGAATGTACTCGGAATATAGCAGGTAGGATGGTAAATTGTAGTGTTCTTGACTCGCCACTTCTGAAATCCAAGAAATTGATGCTTACCTATTAGAATACTGTGATATATTTGCCTGCAAGCAGGGGTAAACACTCAACTGGCTTATTGTTTACATATATCCTATCTTTTTTTTTTTTTTTCCTTATAGTTAAATATTACAGAAAATTCACTCACTCTCAGAACAAGTAGTCCAAAGAGAGACTGGCTCCAGGATTAGTTAATCTAGCACCTGAAATGACATAATCTTTCCTCTTTTCTCCTCTT